GGGCTGCGGAGGAGCTCCGGGCGTGCCGCTGTCCCGGTTGAGTCAACAGCAGTTCTTCCCCCGACGCCGGCAGCAACGAAATTAACTCCCGGGAGTCAGAAACCGAAATGTTTTCCTAATCGGGGCGTAGGAGAAGGGCGGAAACGGTAGCCGAGTGGTAGCTACATGAAACTAACATGCACTCCCCCGCCTTTTAATTCCTGTTTTCATAAAGGCAGAGAGATTTGGTGAGGGAGGGAAATGTGTTTTCTCCGGGAAGGCAAACTGCTCTGGGGAACAGGGAGCACCAGGGGCGAGGGCGTCCCGCACGGCCTCCGTGCCCGCCTCAGACGGGGCCGTGGGAAACGCGACCCGCTCGTAACCCGAAGTGTGATCGCAGCGGCACGACCGGCCGCCGCTGGCGGCTCACGGGGCGGTTTAGAGGCTTCTCGGAACGGAAACCGTGCGTTTTCAAACGTCGGATTTTAATTAATGGATGCGCTTTAAGGCAGTGCCCGGTTTCGAATTCTCATAGAGTTTGGTACGGAAATTGGATGTGCTTTTCTCCTGCGTAGCGTTACCATGAAAGAATATTAATTCCTGCGCTTCCCTCGACTTCACTGAGCTGGCCGGCAACACAGAATCGGATTCATGACATGAAGACTGGTTAAATCAGTACTGTGTATTTTTCTTGTGGGCTTATCAGAAGGCTACTAGCTTTTATGGTTCACGGCTATTAGTTTTTGCTACCTCTGCTTGCTTTTAGTTTAATTCGGACATTTGGCAGCCGTGGTTTTAGTGTAAAAATAGTTATAGATGTCAGCGTTACAGCCAGGCAGTTGTTGATCCCGCTCAGGAAAGGCAGAGCACCGCGTTACAGGCAGGCTCTCGGCCGGCGGTCCGTGAGGCGGGTGCTGCCACGGCCGGGCTGCGCTGCACCGCGCTGGGCGCTGAGGCCGAAATTCGGTTGCTTCTAAACGGCGTTCATTTTATTTTAGAGGGGACAGCCGAGACTCCCTAACCGCATGCTGGTTTTGCTCCAAATGTGTTACTGGGATACGTTTAGACTGACGGTGTAGTTCAGATTGCTGGAGTCTCGTCATCTGACTCTTTGACATCACC